GGGCCCGGCGGGACCTGCCCAGCGCCAGGCCCACCCGCTCGCCATGCACTTGTAACCGTGTGTGATGGCTGTCACATTACCGAATGTGAGGGGAGCAGCCAGATCACTGCTGCACCCATAGGTGGGGGCATTGGCCCCAAAACTGGTATAAAAGGGGCCATGTGGGGTGTTGAATAGAAGCTCACTGTCTGCTAATCCTGTGCACGCTACTCATGTGATCCTATAATGTCTGCGTGGGAAGTTACAAGCATGTACTTTGTGTGGATACTGAATATTTCCCTGCATGTGGTTGAGCAGTGGGCAGAGCCCGGCCTATGGACACGCTAATTAGCGAGGCCCTGTGGGACAATGGCACTCGATGGGCCAAGGACACACCTCAGGAATGGTGACCGACACCTAAGGGCTGCCAGCAGGGGACAAAGGGATAGGCCGCTGGCCAGGTGACCTGCTGCAGCCAAGAGACCAGGAAGGAGAGATAAATAGGCCATGTGGCTGACTCCATCTTGGTCTTCAGCTCAGCACTTCATCCCAGAGGCAGCAGTGCAGGGATCAAAGGGCCGGAAAGACCTGTGGACCCATCCTGATCCTAGGATGCGCAACAAGGACTTTTAAGCCAGCAGCTGTAACATCTCTGCTAGAGCCTGCATCGAGAACTGGGAGATTCGATGCATGTAATGTACTATCCTTCAACAACCTCACTCTCATGCTTTTCTTTCTTGTGGTAATAAACCTTTAGATGTTAGATGCTAAAGGATTGGCCCAGCGTGATCTGTGGGTAAGATCCAGAGGGTAAATTGACCAGGGATCTGTGGCTGGTTTCTTGGAACCGGACAGAACCTGTTCGGGGTAGGTGGGATTGGGTTCTAAGACCCCCGCACCGGTGTATCCCACCCGGGGCCATCTGGGGCACGGATATTGCTGGGGTGTTGGAGGGGCTTTTGCTCGTGGGACTGAAGCGCTCTGTGGGACTGGTTTGTGGCCTGCTTGGAGAGGTCACCAGTCTGGGGGCTGTAAGGAGCCCCTGAGTTTGAGCAATTCGCACAGGGTATGTCTACACTGCCACCCTAGTTCGAACTAGGATGGCTAATGTCGGCATTCGAAGTTGGAAATGAAGCCCGGGATTTAAATATCCCGGGCTTCATTTGCAGCTTGCCGGGCGCCGCCATTTTAAAATCCCCGTTAGTGCGGACTCCGTGCCCACGGCTACATACGGCACAGAGTAGGTAGTTTGAATTAGGCTCTCTAATTCGAACTACCGGTACACCTCGTTCCACGTACCGGTACACCTTGTTCCACGACCCTGCTCCCTGGACCCTGCACCACCGATCCTGCACACCGGACCCTGCACTCCCGACCCTGCGCACTGGACCCTGAGCACTGGACCCTGTTCCCCCGACCCTGCTCCCCCGACCCTGCGCACTGGACCTTGCTCCCCCGACCCAGCTCCCCCGACCCTGCGCACTGGACCT